ATTTATATATAAACGAATAGTATTATTATATCATATTCAATAAAGTTAGGTTATTGCGCTACTTGTCGATACTATTACTCAAGAGCAATTGCAACCATTAGAAACAGACCTAGAAAAGTAGGTTGCAATTTGTACCACTTGTAAGAACCCATACTTTTATTGTCGTCTGTGGTTGGTCCCATATATAAATGAAAAAGGCGTATAGGGTCAGCATAGACTTGCAATAATTTTAAGAATGATTTTTTTTATGTTACTTCGGAATTTAACTAGGAATGGATATTGAAGTGCCAGAATTTACAGTGTTTTCTTTCTTTGCGGGTTTTTCTTGATGAACAAACAGAGAAACTCTCAGTCTTTCACCATGTGATCTCGTTAATCAATGGCACTTCATGACCGTTTCTCATCTTTAGGAAACGTTCAACCATAATGTTGGTCACGAGAAAAGATGACGCATGGGTTGTGGTATATAGTTGGTAAGTATTGGCTGAGGCTCCACGTGTCAGTTTTTATCACTATAATTAAATTTACTAGTTCACGATCACATGGTGTGTTCACCATCATTGAGGACATATGCTACTTCTGTTTTTTTTAGTGTATCGTCCTTTTACTAACTTCCCCTCCCAAAAGAGAAAGAAAACACATCTACTGAATCACCTACCATTAGTATCTTTTGCATAGTGCTTCGGCCTTCGAGCAAGGTGATGTGCGGGGTGAATGAGGACACGTGATTTGCTTAGTTGGTAAGAGCAAGTTGAGAAACACTGGCTTGCATATGATATGACAAGCCATTGTTAATTAAAGAATTGACTAATACTTTGAAAGAGATGTATAGGTCGAATTTCGGACGCAGCAAAGATAAATTACGCATTATTCTCTTCTGTTATTTTTACTTTTTATTCATCAAATTTGATTTGTTTTACATAATCTTTTGAAGTTGGATTGAGAATAAATGTCTAGTTAATTTTTTATTTTTTTAAGAAATGAATAGCATGTTAACAACTTTGGCTAAAATACTTATTGAAATCTCCATCTTTCAACACACACACATATATATATATATATATATATTAAAAAAGGAAAATTATTTTCTCATGCAACAAGAGATAATTTTCTCATGTTGTGAGACATCGAAATTCGTGTCATTTTTTTTTAACAAGTGGTGGGCCCCACCACTTGATGTGTCTATAACATGAGAGATACTACCTCATGTGACATAAGAAAAGAGAAACTCATTAAAAAAAGCAATCCTCTTCATTAATTTGTTAAGCAGTCTCTCCTAATCATCCCTTAGGCGTTTGGTACGTGTCATTTTGTAGGATTTTCGAGAAACTGAATTTTTTAAATTTTAAATTTTTAAATATTATCGTAAACTGAATATAAAAATCATATTTTTGAAAATCGAGATTCCCAGATAAAAAAAAAAATTCTCGACCAAACGCCCTCTTAGTGTTTTTTAGTTTGGCTTATATATCTATTTGTCCATGTAACGAACTAGATCAAGCATCCACAAACATTGAATCAGCGGTATAAATTTCAACAAATTATATATTGTATTTTATAACATCAACCAAGTGCAGAGTTTATCATTTCAAAAATATACAAGCTTCCCTCATGTCATCATTTCTACAATATGCGTAAATATCAGTATTATATGTCATTTTATTGAGTTTTAAATTTTTTTATGAAATTTTCCTTAAGATTTCTTTTGATTTTTTGAAGTCCATGTGAATGGGAGATAATTAAGACGTACTCCCTAAAAATTAAAGAAGGTTCAAAGAATATAATCAAATTAGTTAGCCTTTTTACTTGGTTTAAACGATGACTATTCATTTTCTTTTTTCCAAGATGATAAAGTTAATGGAATGTAATATTTTTTATTTTCACCCAAATCTCAAGTGAATTGTGTCAGAAATCAAAGTTAACATAAAAATTAAAAAAATGACTTAAACCACAAGGGATAATGTCTAATTTTCTTAAAATGAATTTGGTTCATTATGTAGTGAATGCATCTTTGAAGTTCACCCATTGACGCAATACCTAATCCAGTAATGCCCCCATTTAAAAAAGAAAAAAGTATAGCGCTATTAATACTTCTTTTAGTTAATCGAAATTTGATTTTGTTTAAAGCAAGATTCATGGAAAGTGTTATAAGTTTATAACAAGGGTATTTATATGATGAAGGTCAAATTGATCGACAAGTGTAAAACAGTCCAGGGATGTTTGATAGGAGGTGAAAAAACAATTTCCTAAAAAAATGGGATGAAATGTTATCAAAAAAAAAAAAAAATGGGATGAAAAAATTATTTGCTTATATTTATACTTAGCAGGAGGTGAAGTAAAAATATGGTTAGGAAATTTTTTTTTTCCCATTATTTTTTTTTCTATGTAAAATAGCATTAAAGGGGTGAAATTATTTTTTTTCATGTGGTGAAAAAATTATCACACAACATTCTCGAAAAAAATTTGGTCTACCAAATACCTTTTAGTAACTTATCCAGGAAAAAAAAATTTCATTATATTTCTGGAAATTATTTTTTTCTGGTAAAAAAAAATTTCTCCTCAACCAAATTTCTCCTTAAGTTAAAATTGAGAAACTAAGTCGTAATTTTAAGGACTAAAATAGTATTCTTAATTTCTTATTGGATTCAAATTTTTTGTTCTTTTTTTTTTTTTTTGTCTAATGACTAAATTTTGACAATGAGCATTAATAATTAAGAGTGACGTTATTGTCAATTAAAGAGAGAAAAAATCTTTTTTCAGATTGGTCATATTTTCTATAAAAAGACAAGGAATGAGACAAAAAGAAAAAAAGGCGAAAGATTTTTTGAAGTACAAGGAAGACAAAATATTAATTAATTAAATTCTTATTATTCCAGAAGTCAATATAATTTTTTTTCATTATAATCTATGCAATATGCAGTTTTTTTTTTTTTTTTTTTTTTAAGATAATCACAGGTTGACCGAAAGATGTTTTCTCAAATTCAAATCCTCGCACTATAGAACACAATCTTTATTTGTAGGGGATGCTCGGTAGCGGAAAAAAAGAATTATCAGAAAATTACAATTATTGAAAATATGATGGAAATGTGAGTTTTCTTGAAAAAGTTAAAAAAAAAATTATTTTGTAGGCCAAAATATTATAAAAAAAATTGGTTTATATTTCTTGAGTTTATATTTAGTTGAAAGTAAAATATTGTTAAAAAAATGGGTTGAAATTATGAAAGTAACCCTTGCTGAGAAAATGGAAAGAAGACTCTATTTCTCAAATTTTCACACCCACTTTGAGGGATATTTTTGTCCATATTTTCGCATTCAAATTTTTGGTTTGCTGACAAAATCAATCGGATGATATTCTGCCTTTAGTTTTACACACAAATCACATTCTCATGCAAATAAGTTTCTTATGTAAATTTTTTCCAATTCTCTATCAAATATGATGTTGAGATATATAGTCCCACATTGATTGTATGAGCAACTAATCTGATATTTATAAAACTTTGGACACTCTCATCCTTTGAGCTAACTTTTGAAGTGGTTGTATTCCAAGATTCTTTACACATGATCTCCTTTGAATCTCATCCCCACTTTCCTAATAAACAAAATAAAATTCCCCTACCAAACACCCATGAAAAATACTTTTGACTTTTCTTTCCTTTAGGATTGCAATAGCAATATTTTAGTCTGGCGTATTTTTTTATTTTGGGTACATTTTAGTCTGGCATTTTAAAATTGTTTGACTTCGATCTCGTTAATTCTAAAATACTTTTAAATCAGAAATAAAAATATAATCCAGTCGATAATTTCTCTGTGAATAAGACTAACAATGGCAAATAGGAAAGTACAAACTCGTTTCGATATCGAAACTCAAGTGCAAGTTTCCAGCTAAGTTCAACCCACACAAATAAAGGCCCAAGTTCAGCCCAAATTGATATAATCATCATCATTGTTCAGCCAGTTGGGCCGAGAGAAAGGAGTCAAAGGACCCATGGACAAAAACATAGTAAGGACATATTATATTTTCCATGGTCGAAATATGGGACCAAAAATCCATAAAATTATATTGATATCTTTTATAATTTTGAATTCATATATTTATTTAATTTTGTTTTCGTTTTTGCTACTATAAAACATTTTAATTTATGAAAAAAGTTGGACAACATAAATTTTAAATAAACATTATTTAAAGCGGTAAGCCGGTAACTATATATATATATATATATAGATAGATACACGCTCAATTAATGATCAAGAGTAGTTATTTGAATGACAATTTTTTAAAAAATATGCCTCGCTATATGAGGGACTAAACTAAATTATAATGCCTGTTTTTTTAATCACTATTCCCTATGGTTGAAAAACAATAATAGAGAATCTTCATCATTATTTTTTTTTAAAAAAGATAATAAAATAAAATTAAAAATTCATACTGCATGTTAGGTATAAGCTGCATTGTCTGCATTTTGATTTTAAAATTTGCAGGCGATCAGGTTGATGCTTTTTTTTTATCGTTTATTACAATAGAATAATAAGATCAACTTATGATATCGACTTATCAACCACTTTAATAATATTAAAATAAAAATATTAAATTACAAAATAATCTATTTATTTCTATTACCATGTTATCATAATAATAAAAAAAACATTTATCCTTTTAAATATGATATTTTTAATTAAAAATAATAATTTTTATTTAAAATTTAAAGTAAAAAAAAAAATCTCTCTCTCCTATAATTTTAATATTTATTTTCTTCATATTTAAAATAATATAATTTTATGTGCTTAAAAAATATAAAGAAGACACATTTATACATTTTATTTTATTTTAAAAAGATGAAGATGGAAAGGGACAAACAAACTCTAGCGGCAAAAGCCGGCCTTGAAAAATATGAAGCTGTCTCTTACTGTTGAAACTCCTCCTCTCAGAATCTCTTCTTCTTCTTCTTCTTATATTTTCTTTCTTCTTTCTCCACCACCATTCCCGAACCCTACAATCCATCATGAAGCTACCATTTCCCACCATTTTTCTCATCTTCATCTTCATCATCTCTATTCTCTCTTCCTCCACACGCGCCCTGTCTTCCACCGTCGGTGTTGACTCCATCTCCCAACTTCTTCAAATCCAAGACCGCGAGAGGGCTCCCCCTTCCGTTCAGGAAGCCGCCGCTCGCGGCGTCCTCCTCCGGTTGCTCCCTTCCCATTCCGCCAGCTTCCACTTCCGAATCGTTTCCAAGGCATTTCAATTTTCTTCTTCTTCTTCTCCTTTCCCCCCATCTTCTCGTTGATTCCTGACCTAATCGGAATATTATTAATTTTTTGACTAATTTGTTATTAACAGAAGCAATGTGGTGGCGAATATTGTTTCATGATCAAAAACCATCCTTCTTTCGCAGCACAAGGGGATCCTCAAATTCTGTATGTAAACTTGTGATTTCTTGAGAATTTGGAAATGTGAGTGTATGTGGCTTTGCTTGCATACATGAACAGAAAGCAACAAACTATGTGCGTGCGGTTATAACAAACCATAACCGCCTCACTCAGCAAACTAACTTCTAACTAGTAAATATAACAAATTGTAAGCGAACTGAACTCAAGCTTAATATTGATGGAACTTAAGATGATTTTGAATGCTCTAACAGAATTGAAGGGGCAACTGGAGTGGATATTGTGGCTGGTCTGCACTGGTATCTGAAGCACTTGTGTGGTTCACATATATCTTGGGACAAAACCGGTGGCTCGCAACTGTTTTCAGTACCGAATGCGGGGTTTCTTCCGCGTGTTCACGACGCTGGAATCTCGGTTCAGAGGCCTATTCCGTGGAGCTATTACCAAAATGCTGTTACGTCTAGCTGTAAGCTACTTCTTTCAAGTCGTCATCATATGTGTTTCGTGTTGTGCATGGATCCACATCATAAGATTTCATTTTCGCGTGATATTATTTTATCTGCTTTTGGAAGATTCTTTTGCTTGGTGGGACTGGAAAAGATGGGAAAAGGAAATTGACTGGATGGCTCTGCAGGGTGTCAACTTGCCACTTGCATTTACAGGACAAGAAGCTATCTGGCAGAAAGTGTTCCAGGTCATTTTCCTTCCAATTGCGTTAAATCATCCTTGGTATGGGTTTGGCATTGTAACATTTTTGTCACTCAAAAACTTTCCGAACATGGTTTTTATCCTCAAAAATCAACCCACAAATCATGCACCATCGAACTTACTTTGGGTATTAGTTTTGGAAAATTCTTTAAATAAGCTTAATTTCACCATGAAATTTTTACTTTCATTTCTAATTTATAGAAAGCAGGAGTTGTCAAAAATAAATTTTATTACGAAGTTACAAAAATTTCTTAGAATTATTTCAGAAAAATTTAAGTTGTTAGGTGAAGGTTTGTTAGTTATTCTATATCTCCCGCACACCCCTTGCAAGAGCTCTTCGGGTAGAAAGCATGAACAATATAGATACATACTTTAGCTGAAATTTAATTTCAATCACGAAGAGTGAGAGCCACAACGATTGGTCTCCTGATCACATGCTCATACAGATTCTAATACCATTAAGAAGTATGTATCCCAAAACATAAGTTGTTAGGTTGAGGCTCAATATGGATTTATATTTCTAATACTTTAACTGTTTCCCAAGAACAGCTTCATATAGGCATCGCTTTCCATCTTTTTAAGTAGGATTCAATTAGAGGTGCTCTTTTTCAGACGTTATCTAATTTTATGCAACGTCGTAGTATTTTAAGATACTGGCATCATGAGAAACTACGATGTCACATCTAAGCTGTGCTCTGTGTACATCTATTTGGATGTAGCTTTAGCAAGTTTTGCAATGTAATCCCCAAAGGAAAATATATAGAGCTATCTGGCAGTCTTATAGGATATAATAATTGTGTAGGTGCCGTTAAATTGGTACCTCAGTTCTCTGGTAGTGTTTTTTTTTTCCCCTCTTTTTTTGGTTAGGCATAATTCCTAGCATTTCAATGCTTGGAAGTTGCAATTTTCTTGAACATTTGATAAATGATGAAATAAAAACTTGATTTGGGCCCATAATATTGGTATTGGCTTGTTTATTCAAATTATCATACAGGTAGCTTAGTAATCTGATACGATGCTCCTAAAGGTATAAGCTAGGAAGAGTTACAGGGGATTATTGGATAAGGAAAATGTTGTTAGTAAGAATATTCTAGAAGGTTGAGTCTGTTAGAGGAGAGAAGGAAGTAATGCTGAGGTGGCAAAGCTATTAGAGGAAATAAAAGGTGAAGAGTGGCGTGAGCATGAGCAGGCTGGAATTTGGGAGTTCTCGGGAGAGATCAGTGCCTCTAAAATTGCACTGAACCAGCCTCTGGAATTATTGTAGTTGATGTTCTTCTTATATTTCTGCATTTATCTTTTGTCATAAAAAACCTTGTTATGTATTGTTTCCATTGATTAATATACAGAAAATCTAGTTCTTCTGAGCCATTTCTCTTGTGTTAGTTGCGTTTTACTCTGATAATTTGTTAGATCTTATCATAATCTTGGATATTGTATCCCTTAATTCTGCTCCATAAAGTATTTCTTAGATAGCTGACTTTATATTTTACCTCCAGGAGAAATTTAACATGAGCATTTCTGATTTGGATGATTTCTTTGGAGGCCCAGCGTTTCTTGCATGGTCACGAATGGGAAATTTGCATGGGTGAGGGATAGAATTCATGGCCTTCTTGTTTTACTTTGATAATTCATATGATTTTACCTTTATGGTTGACAAATAAAATTTATATATTCAAATAATAATTTAGGAGGAAACACCAATAATGCATATGTAATTACTTCAGACTTTAAGTTTCGTTATGAATTTGTCAAGTACAGCTTTTAGTAAAAATTCTTTTTCTATGCCTGAGAGTTTCTTTGTCATCGTTCCTGGATCTGGAAGCCCAAGTTTCCGGAGGATGTGTAATTCTATATACTTTAAATGATTTTGCAATTTCAGATGGGGTGGACCACTGCCACAGAGCTGGTTTGATCAACAACTAATCTTACAGAAGAAAATTCTTGCCAGAATGTATGAGCTTGGAATGACACCTGGTACCTATTACTTTTATGGACTCTTCTACCTTAACAGCAATAAACTATGGTCAATCTTTATGCAAACTACAAAATAACCAATTACCAATAATAAATACTTCTCTTTTGGTTTCTGGTGCCAGCCAAACCAAATGCAGGGGTATATAATTACGTATGGATAAGTGTTTGCACAGAGTCCAACTTCTAATCCTTTTCTGGAAGTAAAAGTTTTAAGTACTGAATAATTTCTTTTCAGTCCTGCCAGGTTTTTCTGGAAATGTCCCTGCTGCACTGAAATATATATTTCCATCAGCAAAAATAACACGCTTGGGAAATTGGTAAGTACAACTATGTACGTGTTGACTTGGACTTGCATGTATTTAGCTTGCTCACACAACAACCATACTGATTTAAGAACTTAACTAACACGGTTCTGAAAATTCAGCTATTGGATATTTCTTTGAAATGTTGGGAAGTTGAAAAGTATAATGAAGGAGTTTGCTGGCACATAATATCATCTCATATACCAATTTATGATACATATATTTGGATATAAAACACCGGTGAACGGCTTTTTCACCCTTTTGCCCCTTATTAATTAATTAATAACCATTTTGCCCCTGATTCGAAACTATCTACCAATCTGCCCCTCTTTAATCGACTACCTTGCATTTTTAATCGACTAAACGGTTGTTGGGAGATTTAATCGACTAAATCTCTCTACTTAATCGATTAAAATCATACTGGCTTATTTTTTTTTTGTAAAATATGAAGATTTAGTCGACTAAATAGGGAGATTTAGTCGACTAAATCTCCCAGCAGTCATTTTTTGTCTGTTTTGGTCATTTAGTCGATTAAAAATGCAAGGTAGTCGACTAAAGAGGGGCAGATTGATAAATAGTTTCGAATCAGGGGCAAAATGGTTATTAATTAATTAATAAGGGGTAAAAAGGTGAAAAAGCCACCGGTGAACACTTCTTTTGAACTTTAAATATGTCAATTGTATGTTTGTAAGCTATTAATGGGAAGAGAAAACAAAGAGATGAAATATGTTCGTCTAAATCAGATAGTGGAGGCTTTATTATATATATTAAATGTAATATACAAGAATCTCAAGTATCTTAATTACTATAATTACAAAATATTAAAAATCATTCCCCATTAAAACCCAATTAGTGAGGATGGGTGAGTGCAATCTTTGTACGCGACCTTATTCTTATATATTTGTAAAGAGGCTATTTTCAATATTTGAACATGTGACCTTTTAGTCACAAAAGAGTGGCTTATCATTATGATAGGATCTTCATCTCAAAAACAAAAAATAAAGGGATACAAAGGAATTTCCAAGATAAACTAGATTTTTATTGAAAGTATAAAGGAAAATTACAAACAGTAATGAATGACAAGAAATTAAGAAGGTAAATGACAAGGTAGATAACATAAAGAAATTACAGATAATTGATGCAATTCGAGAGGCACCCATTCTCTCCCAAGTTCCTAGTCAAATCCCAAGTAATTGCTTGCCTTCTCCATTTATTTCCTCTCTATTTATTATCCATACTCACTTCTAGAATCTTCTCTACTAACTAACCATTTTGCTGAGTCAGCATTGAGAGGTGGGAATATGCTATAATGTTTCCTACAATCCTCTTTTAAGACCGGTGTCGCATCAATACCTCCCCCTCAAAGTTTCACCTTGTCCTCAAGGTGAAAGCCTGCTCACCAAAATCATCTTCCTGGATCCCATTGCTTGTAGTATTGGGACCCACTTGTGCAAGAAGCATTATAGTTTCCACCCGGATCTCATTGCTCTTCCGCACTAGTTCCATCACCTTTTATTGCAGATTGTATTTCCACAAGTGTCTTCACATCAACTGCCCAAGATCCAACCATAACTATTCAGACATCTATCTCAGCCTTGCTTGGATATTTAATTTCTGCCATAACATTGCAATCCGCACCAAAATAACCAATGCTCAATTCCAAATAACGAACAATTCCAGCCATGTATTTCTCTGTTTCAGTAGCCATTTCCATCACATAAGCAAATATACTAATTTGGTATCTCTCCAAAATAGAACAGATCAATAATTGAATGTCCCTCAATTTGAGCATCAATACGTTGGTCTCTTGAGAACTAAATTCTACCCAACTGGCTCCATTTGCTATGGAGTCCCAATTGTGTCTTCTATACCTCACAAAAAATGGAACGATAATTCCTTTCTCCGTTACTGTGAAAAATCTGGTTTCTCTGATGTCATGGAAGTATAGGTCTACTACATTTTTCCATCTTGCAACGCTGCTCATGATGATCACATATCCAGTGAGTAATGATACATGACCCAAGGTGTGGGCATTCCTTCCATGACCCGAGAAATGCTCCACCTCCTATTCACTGCACTTTTATGAAAGAAGATTGTCAAGACCAATCTATCTTGCTTGTCAAAAACTATCTTATTTTCCAATTTCAATTCAGCAAACAAGAGTATGTTCATTTTGAGTTCATTGTCATTCTGGTCAATTTGATAGATACTAAAGTTTTTTTTTTTTTTTTTTTTTTTTTTTTTGTTGACACTTGGTCTTGGAAGCCCAATTTGGATATTCTGGAAAGATTGAAGCATCATTATGATTTTTTTTGTTTAGATTTGGGCTTAGAAGCCCAATTCTGACATAATAGAGAGACTAAGATATTCCTTAGAACGAGTTGGGCTAGCTTGAGAATGATTAACCATCCCCAATCTTGCTCGTCTTGATCATCTTAGTAAGGCCATGGTTGAAAGCTACCCGGATCGGATAGCTTTGATACCAATTGATAGGATCTTCAACTCAAAAACAAAAAATAAAAGGGATACAAAGGAATTTCCTAGATAAACCAAATTTTGTATATTGGAAGTATAAAGAAAAATTACAAACAGTAATACATGACAAGAAATCAAGAAGGTAAATGACAAGGTAGATAACAAAAAGAAATTACAGATAATGGATGCAATTCGAGAGGCACCCCTTATCTCCCAAGTTCCTAGCCCAATCCCAAGTAATTGCCTGCCTTCTCCATTTATTTCCTCTATATTTATTTTCCATACCCACTTCTAGAATATTCTCTACTAACTAACCATTTTGCTGAGTCAGCATTGAGATGTGGGACTATGCTATAATGCTTCTGTTACGATCCCATTTGCAAGGTATGGGACTTGGAGCCCCACATTGGTTGTATGGGCAACTAATGTGGGGTTTATAAGGCCTTGGGCACTCCCACCTTTTGAGCTAGCTTTTGGGGTGGTGCACCTCAAGGTTCTTATCAAATGGTATCAGAGCTTTCCACTATGCCTCCAGATTGCAATCGAGCGGCGCGGGTGGTGACGCCGGCATTGCAGTGTTCGCTCGGGGCTAGTAAAAGACTAGCGCAAAGCCAGCCCGCGTGGGCACCGGGGCTGCGGAGCGTGGTGGAATGTTACGATCCCATTTGCAAGGTATGGGACTTGGAGCCCCACATTGGTTGTATGGGCAACTAATGTGGGGTTTATAAGGCTTTTGGGCACTCTCACCCTTTGAGCTAGCTTTTGGGGTGGTGCACCTCAAGGTTCTTATCAGCTTCCTACAATATCTTTTACTACTCGTGTCGTATTACACTACTTCAAGCTCGCCCTCTTTTTAATTACAAGATATTATTAGCCTATTAACATATTTTCAAGTACTTTTAAGTGCTAGCATACAGATTATATGAACCAAGCTTGTTACACATATAGCTAAATTGAGGACCTATCATTTGAGTTGACGAAGCTAGTGGTGATGTCTCCATATAAGACTTTCTCTCTAATGAAGCGTCAAACGATGTTAAAATGTTTTGTCTTTTAGTGAAACACTAGATTGGAGGCGATGTACAACATGGCCTGAGTCTTAAAAACGAGTTAAGCTCTCCAAATTGGAGTTCTTGGAGCATTTACTTTAACCAAATGAGTTCGCAAGTAGCTGAGGTCATGACTTCATACTCTGCTTTGGCATTTGATTTTGCAACCACATTTTGATTCTTACATTTTTCAGGATATGAATTTATTCTCGATGAATACACAATACCCAAAAGTGGAACTTCTACCAGTACCGGACCTTGCCCAATCAGAATATAAGTGTCCAACAATCTGAGTGTTACCTTTTTCTTCATACACAAGACCTTTTCATGGAGCTCTTTAACATATTTTAGAATACCAATCATTGCATCCCAATGATTTTTACTAGGTGAATCGAGGAACTGACTTACCACACAAATTGGAAATGAGATACCTGGATGAGTAATTGTGAGATAGTTTAGCTTCCCAAAAACCTTTTGCATCTTCCTATATCCAAAAGGGGTCCCCCTAATTTAGTAGGAGTTTATATTTGAACCCGTAAGAGTGCCAACCGACTTTGCATTCAACAAAACGGTTCCTAAAGAATGTCTATGAGATACTTCCTTTGTAAAATTACGATACCATCCTTGGATTATGCCACCTTTATTCTTAAAAAGTATCAAAATTTGCCAAGGTTTTTGGTCTAAAAATGATGACCAAAATATTGTTTTATTTGAAAGACACACTTAAGGGACCAAGCCTAGAGTTTATTAAGACTTGGAGTAAAATTATGAACAAAACAAATAAACGCTAACATTGAGGCTATAGGAAATGCAAAGGCTGTTTAGAAAACAACACAGAGTGAGGCACTTGGTTATCAATGACAAAGAAGGCATAGAGTTAATGAGGCAGCAAGAAATAAAGACAACGTCACCCCAAAAATGAAAGGGAGCAAGACAATGAAGCAAGACTGTCCTAGTTGCTTCAATAAAGTCTTGGTTTTTATGTGTAGGGGTATGGGCACAAACAGTTCCATGAAGAATGTTTTGAGAAGCCATAAAATTTTGTAAAGGCAAAGAAAAGTATTCATAGCCTCATAGGTATAATCACTACATAAAGTGCGAATTGGAATACCAAATGTGTTTTTATTTCATGATAAAAATTTGGAAAGATGGAAAACAACTTAGACTTATTTTGCATTAAAAATAACCAAGTACAACACAAATAGTTTTCATGGAAAGTAACAATAATTGAGAACTAGAAGACATAATAAGACTAGGACTCCAAACATCAGAATGAACTAAAACAAATTAAAGAAGTAGCTTGACTAGAGACTCGATGGGAAAATGGACTATGGGTATGTTTCTAGACCGACAAGCTCGATACCAATCTATGTAGTTTGGCAAGATTAGGATGACCCTTGGGCATAAATAATGAGAGGAATATGTGATGGAGCAAACACAAGATGCGTTGGAGAGCTGGTAGAGGCCATAAGATTCACATCCAATGTCAATCATCCGTCCTGAACTCCAACTATACAGAAAGGAAAAATCTTTATTAAAGGGGACAACTCAGTCAAGAGAATGTGCCAAACGACTAATGGACAACAAATTAATGGGGAGCCAAGAGCATAAAGCACAAAAACAACAGAAAAGGAAGGGATTGAAACACAGTTTTTGGAAAAATAATTCACTGAGTGCGCAGTGGGTCTACAGAGTAGGCACATATAGATTTAATTCCATGTTAAGAGCACACATAGATTTAATACCATGTTAAGAAAAAAGAAAACGGGAGACATTTGATAAAATACATACAAACGCTCTATTGTATACACTAAATGTAATAATTACAAGAATATCAACTATGCTAATTATCGTGAGTACAAGATATTATTAGCCTATTTACATACTTTCCAACGTAAGTAATCTTTAATCATGTTCAATATCTAATATAAATTCATTAAACAGTTGAACTGTCTTAAAGAGATGCTTGAGTGCCTAATTTTTGGAGGAACAAGTGCATAAAACATCAGCACATAGGGTTCTTTTGCGGAGAAAAATGTAAATTAATTATTCAAACCGGCTTGGAGAAGTAATTTACATGTTTAGTACTCGTGCACTCTTCAACACCCCATAAAAAATTATAAGTGTCATCTTACACCCTCAAATAGACAACTTTCCTAGGTTGGTAATACCTAATAACAAAGATTTTATGGCTTTAACACCCAGCACCCATCACCGAGATCAATCATGAACGTGCTAAATCCTTGCAGCCATTGATTTTTGCTTTTTCCCAATATTATTGACACCCGTGCTTGTATAGCAAACCTAGTTGCTGCATAGTGAAGCTCGTGTGTTATTGAGCTTAGGAAAAACTTAAGTTCAATAACGTAAGAAAAACAGAGAGCCAAGCTTTGTAGAATAAGGCACACAATCATATAAACCTCATAATGCCGGAAGTGTTAACAAAGATGTCATGCCCTGGAACTCGTGAGAAAACCATGAATACGGACCTCATAGCCTGTTGTTGTATTCATTTTCCTGTCTTGTTTACATCCATAACACTCATGAGTCACGACACAGACTTTACTGATTATTTTTTCATCCTTCTGTAGGTTTTCTGTTAAGAATGACCTCAGATGGAGCTGCACTTATCTTCTTGATGCAACTGATCCCCTGTTCATTGAGATCGGGAAAGCATTTGTTGAGCAACAAATTCAAGGTGATTGATATACATGCTTCTTTCTATCTTTGTTGGCTGTATTACATGACATGGTAAAATGATAGATGCAACTATTCCGTAATAAATATCTAGTTACCAATTTAATTGTTTGTGATATTTGATTATCTTTTCACCCAGAGTATGGAAGAACCAGCCACATATACAACTGGTAAGTTTCTCTTTACTCGTCAATTTTAAAATTATAGCATTTAAATTTTAATTGCTAAAATATTTGTAAAAATTGCTGTGTTTCGGTACCTGGAAAATTTATTGAACACTGTTTCTTTTCTGTTATTGACATTTTGTACGTGGATCCCTCCTGGCATGCAATGGAATTCTTTAGGTCTATCTAGCTTCCTTGGATAATAATGCATATCAATAAGTTTCATGCATAAATCCTAACCTTGTAGTTGTGACGTGGCTGTCAGAACTTCCCTGTTCATGATTTTGAGGTTCTTTGCATTCATCGGTCATATATAACTAAAACTCTCTTTGGTTCCTTCTCAACATTTTTTTTTTTTCAAATTTTCTTTTTTAATTTACCAATATCATCAATATTATTATAACAGAAATTTTGTGATAAATGACAACAGTGAAGTTGTCATTAAGTTATGGAGAGTATATACACAATGTTGCTTTGGTAACAAAAAAACGAAAATAGAATTATAACACTATTAACAACTACTATTGTTAGAATGTGACTTCACACCACTCACACATGAATATTTCGAATATCATCCTCCCCCTAATGGCAACTTCTTAATTACTCAATCCAGCTAAATTGTTGGCTTTGATACCAGAGTTAATAATGGTACGAGGGAGCCCAAAACCCATACAGAAGATAACTTCCACCAATGGGCCAATTGACAAACCACAATAAATGTGACTGACACCATATCTCAACCCAAAACCTTAAGGTCGTAGGTCAATGGATTCTTTTTGTAGTTATATGGTCTTCACATGGTGCATTTCTAACTGATATGGAACTTCACATCACTCACTTGAATATTTCCAACAACTATAACAGTTTTCCAGCTAACTATTACAAACTGGAAATGTGCAATACTACAACTCAAGATGGGAAGAAGATGTTAAGGGCAACCAAATTTTTATATGCTTCTCTCGTGAAAAATAGGATTCGAAGCAATGTGGATTGTGGCTAGATTATCACAATACATCATAGTAGCATCTCTTGTAATACCAAAGTCATTGAGCTGGGTTGTGAGCCAAGTTAATGCACTGGTAAGAGCTGCTAAGGACCTGTATTCAGCTTCGGCCTTGGATCTGGCAACAGTAGCTTGTTTCTCAGACTACTAAGAGACTGAAGATTCACTAAGGAAGGCACAGAAACCAAAGACAAATTTTCTTCTGTCAAGACAACTCCCCCAATCCACATCAGCATAGGCTCGAAAGTCGGAAGGACAATTGTGATGAGAAGAGGAGGCCTTGACTTGGGCTAGACTTAAGGTATCTTAAGAGGTGATGGACAACATTGAGACGAGGAACACGCAGCAAAGACATGAACATGTTCAGCTTATTCACTGCATAAGTGATGTCTGGTCTTGAGATTGTCAAATACAGTAGTTGTTCGATAAGTCTCTTGTAAAGGGAATAATCTGGTAACCGTTACGGCTGAGTTCAATAGTTGCTAGAATCGCAGTAATTGGGTTGGAAAGGATTGAGAGCTGCGGGTTCAAGAAGGACAAGAATGGTATTCTTGATCAATAGCAATAACATATTACAAGAGATGAATCTATTACAAAGGAATTCTCATTTCACGCTTAGCAAAGCATCAGTTCACAAATGAATTCTCAAAAGTATCTATTAATAGTTATAGTGTCCCCTACATTCTCCTAAGCTTCCTTCCTAAGCTCCTAACCAGCAGTTTCTAACTAACCTAGGATCCTAGTTAAAGCCCTCAACTGACCTAAATGCTGCCCAGGGGAATACACCTTCTAGACTGCAGGTTGCCGCTCCCCATTTACAATTCCAGTAGTAACAAAACCTCCCCTATGAAAGAACTCAAACTTGAAAATTGTCCCTGCATCATGGTGACATCCTCCCAGGGAAATCCAAAGACATGAGTACTTTTATCGCTAGAAAATCTATATTCTGTTATAAGTCTCCTGTTCATTTGAATTATGGCATATTGGCATCGCACTTTATTCTATACTTTTGTTCATAAGGGACTTCATTCATTGTTGAAATTACAGGGTTTAAGTATAGATGTAGTTGAAAAGACACAGAGAATATAAAGACTGAATATTATGTTTTATGAGGTGATTAATGTGATTAAAATAACAAACACTAATCCATATTTATACTAATTCCTAAAATAAGGAAACAAATAATGAAATATAAACAAATAGAGAAATTAATCTTCTAGGATACTCTAAACAATATTAAGATATAATCTTATTATTATTCAAAATCATTTAGATATTCTAGACATTCTTAGATTCATTAACGTCGAGTATGTTGGACCAATCACAGCGACACTTTTGATGAGAACACCCCGCCCATTGATGATCCAGAGTACATTTCATCATTAGGTGCAGCAATCTTTAAAGGAATGCAGAGCGGTGATGATGATGCTGTTTGGCTGATGCAGGTGATAGGAATTAGTTACGTTTTTTTATTTTATTTTTTTATTAACCTTGGATTGATGCTAAGAGGGAAAACCTGGAGCAGTGATAAAACTGTTCCTTTGTGACTGAAAAGTCACATAATCGAATCCAGGAAACAGTCTCTTTGCAATGATGTAAGGGTAAGGTTGCGTATAAGGACTTTCCTCACCCCACCCTCCATATTGAAAATGGATTCTCTCATGTATTATTTAACATGACAATGTCATGTGAGAGGATCTTAACAATCAATGAACAAATTAACGGTAATAATTTTGTAACTTCCTATCTCTATATTTTTTCTCTCTCATCCGTTATCACCATTGATTCACCCTTGTATGGTAAGGATCGTCTCACATGACATGATCATGTTAAATAACACATGAGGGGATTGCAACAAGTATAATTGGAAATTGATCCTCTCATATATTATTTAACATATATGCATCCACTAGACCCTAATGGATCCTATTTCAATTATGCAGGGATGGCTATTTTCATATGATCCGTTCTGGAGACCTCCTCAAATGAAGGTTATATTCATAACTTTTAACCTCCGAACTTTATTGTTTATTTTCACAGCAGGTCTTAATATAAGCAAAACTTGTCCGAGATCTTGCTATACAAACCATTCTTGCTGCCTTAATGATTTTCACATCAATTTACTTTTCTATTTGCAAGGATTTCAATTATATTGATCCCCATCACTGTTTAAGATTGTTTCCATTAAAATTTTATGGCTTCGTAGAATCTCCACTATGCAGAGAGACTGTAACTAGCAATCCATACAACACTTTTGCTTTTTCCTTTTTTCTTTCAATTCTTTCATGCCTGTGTAAGATAATGACTAGAATCACCCATATTCACATTTGAACAGATGCATTCGTTAGTCAGTAAAAATGCTTTCTAGAATTACTAGTTAGCCCTGCTTATTTCTTCTAGCTTAATCACCATTCATAAGATTCTTATTTGTGCTTGTTTTCAGGCCCTTTTACATTCAGTCCCTGTCGGAAAGTTGGTGGTTCTTGACCTGTTTGCCGAAGTAAAACCCATATGGATTACCTCAGAGCAATTTTATGGAGTTCCCTACATCTGGAAAGTTATTTTCCATTTTATATTTATAAATTATAAATAATAATAATTCTTTCTCTGTTGATGATTTTAAGTTAGTTGGCCACGGCCATATTTAGGCCTCCACCATACTTAATATGTAGGGATATCTTTACTTTTCCTCGACGTTAATATATATATATATGTGGAAAGAATATTTCTACAGCCACTTTAGATAAGGTTATCTATAGCTTCCCTTTATAACTATATACTACCAGTAGTACATAATTATAAAAAGTATTCGTAGATAACCTTATTTAAAGCGGATGCAGAAATGTTTACCCCTATATGTATACGGTTAACTTTTTCTGCAGTTGCTGCATATAAGTTATCGGCAGTAAGCTCAATACGACGTCATTTTGGGGCAGAAATAATGGTGTTTTTGTAATTTTAATTTATTTCAGGGTTATTATAGTCTTTATAATTATAATTTTTTAATATTTCAATCCCAAAACGACGTCGTTTTGAGAGTAAATGCAGATAATTTATCTGCAGTAACTGCAGAAATATTTTTCTGTTATATATATATATATATATGGGCAGGATCAATTTACATCGGTATAAGAATAAAAAATCTTACACTCAATTTTATTAATTGATCTGTTTGCATGTGACGGTTCACATATCTAATAAATGTCGTTAGATATAAATAGGATCAACTCTAAAATTAAGAGTGTAATTTATGCTGGTGTAAAATATATATATATATATATATATAGGTATAAAAATGTGAATATAGTGTCGTCATTGTATGATTGACCTTCTTCACGCACTAACTTAGTTGGTGCTTAGCTCAGTCCAGCCTGCAGCAGCTTAAACCAGTGATCCATAGAGATAGCTGCTTTGTAAAACTGTGGCAACGATGTTATATGAAAATGTAGTAACTAGCATAGGTGGACTTCCTTATAAATTGTTTGATGCGTCTATATCTGTGTATTAGCATATTTATTAGCTTACAATTTGATTTATAGATAAATTTATGAATACTCAAGACTCTGCAGTCTGCATCCTGTTGATTGGCTTCTTCTTTTTTAATTGATTGGGTGTGTTATGCTTGACAGGTGTATGCTGCACAATTTTGCAGGAAACGTTGAGATGTATGGGATATTAGATGCGATAGCATCTGGGCCAATCGAAGCACGTAAAAGTGTTAACTCAACAATGGTAAGTTATTTATTTTTACTGGTGACTTAATTTCATTTCACTATTGAACTATAGGAATTAAGTCAGCAAAGACATAACGAGAGAATATAGATTCCATAGTAGGATGTTAAATTGATATATTGGATTATCATTATGATTTTATAAAAAAACCAAAAAACCACTCCCGTTAAACCCGAATCATTATGATTTTATATAAAAGATAAAATATTAATCTCTATTTATGCTTAAAATTAAAGTAAGCATTCGACTCATAATCTCAATCAATCAAACAATTAACAAATAACTGACAAAATAATATATATTCACTTAACAACTTAGCCTTTTCGTATAATAGAAGAACAAATTTTAAAAATTATAAGACACAATGCAACTGGGGTGCAACAAATAAAATTAGTATTAAAATACAAATCTTTAATTAAAAGAAAGAATTAATATTTTAAAAGTTAGCATTGGTTAGTAAAATATTATTATTTATCTAATTATTATAATATTTCTATTTCTATTTGTATTTGAAGTAAAATTTTTTGTTAAACGTAACTAGGAGTATCCAAAATGTCTTACCCGAATAGGATTACTATTTTATGTGTCCATGCTTCCCAAGTCATGTGGCTCAAGAGGTGAAGCACCCATTCTGTCATCTCCTCAAGCTTAGTAAACAACCCCAACTTGTCATTTCCATTGCCCTGCAGATCTTTCCAGCAATTTACTGGCATCAAAATGCCATCATGTTTAATCCTCCAGTTCTATTCAACACACTGGGATACAAGAATGATGTTTCTCTTTGCAGTGATTACTAAATGTAATCTCTCCTGTTGTCTCAATCTATTCGGTTGACAACCTTGGATGTCAAATTCTCTTACTCGAAGCTGGTGTTCGGATGTTCTTGTCAATTGATATGGTGTATTATTATGATCTTATACCAGCAGTAAGCACTGATCCCTATTTGTACTAGGAATTAGGTGGAGTAATAAACTTATCCTTAATCAAATTAGATGAGGGAACAAATAACTTACTACGGATAAGTTAAAATCCCTAAGAAGACAACATGGTGCTGGAAAGCTCCTTTTATATGTAGGGTCTAGGGAAGAGTACTCATTGTGTGGGTCTATAGGTAATCTCACCTTGCATTTGTAAGAGACTCATTACATGATTCAAACATGTGGCGAGAACACCAACATAAGACTCTCCTAAAAATAAAATAAAATAAAATAAAATTCTTAACAAGATCCCTACAGATAAGCTAACGCAATTATCCCTAAAAAATAAATTATCCTACTTTATTATGCATCATTCTCTCTGTCTAAAATATTTTGTAGAAATTCTAATCCTCATGGATCTGACTTTTGGCTTTATTGGATATTGATTACCAGTTGTGTTATCAAACTACTAAATAAGTTCAATTGATTACCTGCCATTTTTGCTCTATCGTAGTTTAGAAACATGAGGAAAGATTATCCAACATAAAAATATGATTATGCATTTGCTGTTGGTTACTCTGGACAGATACTCTTTCTAAGTTGGAAGTTAGTGCACCTACATAAATACATATATAAGCACACCGAGATATACCTTCTACAGATGTAATTTACCGTTCATATTTGAATTCATTTGAAAAGTTCTTGTTCAAAGTGGTCTGTCCAACATGAGCAATATCTTTTCAATCTCGTCCTTTCTCCATTTCCATTCAGAATATGAAACATGCACAGATGATATTTTATTATTTACACAAGTCATTCTGCTAATAATTTCTGTAACTTATTTTTATCATAGAAGTCATACTTCTTATACCTATTTGACTTTCTGAAGGTTGGAGTTGGAATGTCGATGGAAGGTATAGAACAGAATCCCATTGTGTATGATCTGATGTCTGAAATGGCATTTCTACACAAGAAAATTGATGTTAAGGTAAGAATGGGAGAATCTTGGTGCCAATAGATTGTATTTATTTCACTCACGGTTTTATTATGTTCGTCTGCTAGTAGGATCTCGCATGACCTGGGGAACCCTCCATAATGTGGATGACCAGTTTTTCGAATGTATAATCGACCGTATTAAATGGTACGGTAGATAGTTCAAAAAGAAAGTATGTTGGAATTAAATTGCATGCAAGGGAGGAGAGAAAAAAAATGTATGTCAGAATTACATCCGAAGTCCAAAATTCCATCCTAGCGTGCAATTCCAATTTTTACTGAATAATCAGAATATTTAGGAATCCCATTTTGCTGATAATTATGATCAAAATCTCTGAAGTTATATAGCTGCCTTTAACCTTGAGTAAAATCAGCATAACCAAGGAAATGGTATAGTATATTCCTTTTGGCAATATTTTTTATCTGATTCCTTTTGGTAATGTTACTCGACATATTTGATTGGTATTCGGCTTCATAAAGTGTGCTTGTGTAACATTATTATTTATTAGAGCTCTGATACACCTGCGGTAGGAAAACATTTTTGTTTACAAAGCTTACCATAGCACTGTCGTTTCTCCTTTACAAGTTTGGTTTCTGCTATTGAAGATCTGAAGCTGTAAGCAGTCCATGCCTTCCACTGAATCCATGCTTTCTTTTATTTTATATCTATCTTCACTAAGTAATGTTTGCAGACTGAAATGCATCATGGTCATTCCTTTTTCAGGTGTGGGTTGATCTGTATTCAACTAGACGATATGGAAGATCAGTTCCTTTAATACAAGAGGGATGGAATGTCTTATATCACACCATTTACAATTGCACTGATGGAGCTTATGTAAGTACTTGGTTGATACTTATAAAACCTGTCTCAAATTAGTAATTTTTTCCAGTTAATCCTGTTGGGGTATGTTCCTTCATTAATGCTTGGTGGCTGTGCATGCATTGCATTTTTTAGTGCATGGCTCAATGTCTGAATAACTACCTCAATAAATGCTACTTACCTCATTATGAAGAAGATTCTAGAAGGAGGTGAAGAGCTTTCACCTCACCTATATAAAGACATGTTGTAAAATGTTAGAGAGAGAGAGAGAGAAATAGCTTGTGAAAAACCCTCTGAAGAGAAGATTGATTGAGTAACCTCTTTAGGGAAGAACTTTACCACCATTGTAGGTGAAGTTTGAGTATACATATCTAGCGTTACTAGGGAAGCTTAAATCTTTTGTAAATCCATTATTATTATAGTGGAATATTTTTTGAATTAGGTCCCATGGTTTTTACTCTTCTGTATTGAGGAAAGTTTTCCATGTTAAGCTTGTATGTAATTGTGTTCAACTTCTACCTTACTGTATTTCCCTTTAATACTGCGTTCTTCCTTCTAAGATGTGTTGTATTTGTGTTAACCCAAAAAAATGGTGCGTTGTTTTTCATTTCTTCTTGATACGTACAAACCCAGAAAAAAAAAAAAGACATTTCACATTGCTTAGGCCAGCTTATTTCTCAATCTGCTGTCCTCCTTTAATCTGACCAGCGACTTGTACACAAATAAATGACAACCCCAACTGCACATCTTATGCTCAGTTCCAGCCATAACTAATCATGCATAAATTAGTAGATCAACTATCATTTTGACCAGGTATTCTTGGTGAATGGGAACAGGATAAAAACAGAGATGTCATTGTAGCATTCCCAGATGTTGACCCTTCCTTAATTTCAGCACAGCATGAACAGTCTCGCCACTATAGCAAGCCTTTCTCAAGAACAATTATCACGGAAATAACTGATTCATTTGACCGACCTCATTTATGGTATTCAACTTCTGAAGTAATTCATGCATTGGAGCTATTCATAGCTAGTGGAAATGAACTTTCAAGAAGTGATACTTATAGGTTAGAAAAGTTGGTTATATAAGAATTCACACTTCTGTTTCAGTACCCTGCAAAATTTAACTTGATTTTGCATTGTATGTTAAGGTTTATTATCCAGATTCATGGTATTTATTCTTTACTCAGGTATGACGTTGTTGATCTTACTAGACAAGTCTTAGCAAAATATGCAAATCAGTTGTTCTTTAAGGTCATAGAGGCATACCAATCACATGATGTCCATGGAATGACTCTCCTCTGCGAGAAATTTCTGGACCTAGTGGAAGATTTGGACGCACTGTTGGCTTGCCATGATGGATTTCTTCTGGGACCTTGGTTAGAAAGTGCAAAGCAGCTAGCTCAAAATGAAGAACAGGAGAGACAGGTTTGATTTACTTATTTTGGCATAAAATTGATATCCACCTATTCCTTACTTCTATTGATGTAACCTAAACATTTACAGTTTGAGTGGAATGCTAGAACACAAATAACCATGTGGTTTGACAACACAGAGGAGGAAGCCAGCCTGCTTCGTGACTATGGTATGAATAACAGTTAATACCTTGCTATATTTAGTAACTTAGCATTCACTAGGAGGAGGTCTTGGCCCTTTTGCAGCAAAAATATTATAAAAATATGATGAAGTAAAGGCTTGTTTATTTACCTTTGTTTTTGGTAAATGGTAAGCGCTCCCCTTTTTCTATTAATAACTTCTCTGAACCGTACAGAGCAAAGGAAAATAAAAGCTCTGTGATGTTTTGGCATACTGATTGACTGTATGTTTTTTTTACTGCTTTCTACAGGAAACAAGTACTGGACCGGGCTTCTACATGATTACTATGGTCCTAGAGCTGCTATTTATTTTAAATATTTAAGGGAAAGCTTAGAGAGTGGTGAGGATTTCAAGCTAAAGGAATGGAGGAGGGATTGGATAAAGCTTACCAATGATTGGCAAAGCCGTAGGAATATATTTCCACTAGAAAGTAGAGGAGATGCCCTGAACACTTCTCGGTGGCTCTTCAACAAATACCTGAACTTGAGCAATCCTGAGACGAAGCTTACGCTGGAGTACTGGACTGAACGCAAATCAGTGAATTTTCAATGAACTATACTTAAATGTACATGAAACCAAGACCATTTTACTTCTCTTTGGATTTTCTTTTTCCACACTCTGATGCCATTTTTCTTTTACAGAATTCCTTTGCCGATGTGAAAAGGAAACTATGCATTTCACTTTCCAGTTCGTGCAAAATATAAACTGTGCAAATTTGCCAGGTGTTTCCTGTATGTTCAGGGGAACATAACACATGCATTATGAACTTGGAAGACAGCTTTTTTCTTATTGATGGGAATAAGGATCCCGTTGTTTAACCTTAATGGAAGATCACGTAAGATGTCTTTGTATGATTAAATCAATTGTTCTAATTTAATTTTTTAAGTATCATTCTCAAACACAAAAAATTATTTTAAAAAATAAATAAATTTATTAAATGTAAACCAAACACATCCTCAAAAGAACAAAAACCAAACATATTCGAAGCTGGTTAGCTACCACCAAAACACAGGGACCAGGGTCCATTCTGGTGAGAACAACATAGGTGGAGAATCACACTAGATAATACGCGCAATGACTTTGGGACGCTCGAATTGCTTCTTTTGGTAGAATTATAGACTGGAAGAGAAGTGGTCCAAATTTTCTTATCTTTTTTTTTATTATTATTATTCAATGTTTGACGGTGGAAATCACCCAAGCGGGGCCCTAGAACCTTCTAATAGCCGCCATAGCATAAAAAATGAGCCCACCAATCCTACACTTGCATTGGAACGTAAGTGCAAACGTGTACTGCCTCTGTTGGTCCATTGTTGGGCTTTTTCTTCCACAATGTTTTACAAGGCCCAATGTTTTTATGAACTCTGAGCTCGACGTTTGATTTGTGACATGCTTCCGTGCCGAGATAAGAGAATCAAGTTCCCAACGGTGGTATCTGAGCTCGGTTTCGACATTTTGAAGGAGACGAGATGGAGACTAGTGGTGTTGTCCATGACGGAGACATGTTTAAGCTGACTGCTGACAACTTTACATATTGGAGACCGGTAATGGAAAACCACCTTTACCACAAAGACTTATATGAGCCCATCACCCAGGCCGAGATGCCTGAAGGAAGGAACGCGAAGGAATGGAAGGTCCTGAACAGGAAGGCAGTTGTCATGATAAAAAAATATATAGACAAAAGCCTCTTTGAGCATGTTTCCGAGTTCACCAATGCATACGAGTTATGGACGAAGCTGGAATCCATGATTCAGAAGAAGACTCTCAGGAACAAGGCACACCTGGTTCACCGACTTGTGAAACTGGAGTACAAAGACGACATGAGTATGATCAAACACCTCAACACCTACAAAACGAAAATCAAATGTCCAAAGTCGGGATGAAGATTGATGATGAGATGCAAGCCTTGCTGCTGTTGAGCTCGCTGCCAGAAAGCTGAAATACCCTAGCAGTTACTTTAAGTAACTCGATTGCCGATGGAAAATTGAAGATGAACACCATGACAAACAACCTCTTGGATGAGGAATCCAGGATAAGGAAACGAGGTGTGACCAACATCTTCGAGGAAAACGTGGCCGAAAGTAGAGGAAGGTCTGACGCCTGTGGTCGTAGCAAGAGTCGGGATCGTGACAGATGTCCAAAAGCCGGTCTAGGCTGAAATACGAGTTGAAGTGTTTCTATTGTGGGAAGTCCAGTCAAAAGAAGCCAAATTGTAAGACTGCAGAATGATGGGAAGAACGACACACTGTAAAGCCGGATCAGATTGTGCCAAAGAAGAAAAGGGACAAGAGCACCACTATGGTGGCTGCAAACTTGGATGCCAAGATATTTCTCCTCGGCGAAGGTAATTTTTTGAATGTTGTATATGATGCCTGCACCTGGATTGTTGACTCTGATGCCTCCTTTCACGTTAGTCCACACAAAAGTTTTTCTCCTCTTACAGAGGTGGTGATTTTGGAGTCATGAAAATGGAAAATCAGGTGACAAGTAAGATTGTCGGAGTTGGTGATGTGACCCTAACCACGAATGTCGGGTGCCGACTTGTGTTGAAAGATGTAAGGCATGTGCCTGACATGCGTTTGAACATAATCTCTGTTGGAAATTTTGATGATGTCAAGTTGGTGAATTACTTCGGAAGTGGTTGATGGAAATTAGCTAAGAAAAATTTGGTGGTTTCCAGAGGCAAAAAGGAAGGCTCTTTTATGTGATGTTGAAATCTATTGACGACAATTTTCGCAAAGTGTGGGTGTATTTATTGAAATCTAAAGACAAGGTACTCTAATCCTTTAAAGAGTTTCATGCTATGGTGGAAAAGGAGACTGACAAAAAGCTGAAAGTGATCCGATCTGACAATCGTGGTGAGTACTACAGCCCATTTGATGCGTACTGTAGAGAAGTCGAGATCCAACTTGAGAAGACGTCCCCCAAGACTCCTTAGCTAAATGGAGTTGTTGAAATGATGAATGGGACTATTGAAGAAAGGGTTTGAAGTATGTTATCACATGCTGGGTTACCAAAATCTTTATAGGATAAGGCTGTCAAAACTGCTGTTGATTTGATAAACATATCACTTTCACGGCCACTAGAAGGAGAAATTCCTAAAGAAGTTTGGACAAGTCGGAAAGAGACCTATGATCAATTGAAAGTATTTGGATGCCGAGCTTTCATACATAACTCTAAAGACAAAAGGACAAAGCTCGATGCAAAGACAAAATATTGCATTTACCTTGGTTTGCCGATATGCGAGTTTGGGTTTCCAATTTGGGATCCAATCAATAAGGAAATAGTGAGAAGTCAAGATCTGATCCTTCATGAGAACGAAACAATTCAAGACATCTCGAATCCTAAAGTCTGGGTTGTTGTCCGACGTGATAAACTTGTCCCTCATGTTCGAACTGAAGCAGAGGGAGAAACAAATGTTGAAAATGAACAAGTTGATGAGGACTGAGATGCCAAGGTCCAGGATAATGAGATCCGAGATGCTGAGAATGTTGATCCATAATCTCAAAATGAAGTTTAGACCAGACACTCTACAAGAGTAGACGGCCTTATACAAGTTACCCACCTGACGAGTACACTGTCGTTACTGAAGATGGTGAACCTCGAAGTTATGATGAAGCTATAATGAGCTTTGATAAGAAAGAGTGGAAGAAGGCAATGCAGGATGAGATGAAGTCCTTGCATGAGAATCAAACTTATGAACTGACCGAGTTGCCTCAAGGAAGACGAGCACTGAAGAACAAGTGGGTTTGCAAAATTAAGCATGAAGAAAATGGCCAGAAGCCGAGATATAAAGCCTGAATTGTGGTAAAAGGCTGCAATCAGAATAAAGGAGTAGATTTTGAATAGATATTCTCACCTATGGTGAAGATGACTTCGGTCCGAATCGTGTTATCCATGGCAGCTTTAATGGACCTTGAAGTGGAACAAATGGATATGAAGACGACATTCCTTCACGGCGACCTTTTTGAAGAGATATATATGAAGCAACCTGAAGGGTTCCGAGCTTCGGGACAAGAAGACTTGGTCTGGCATTTGAAGAAGAGCTTTATACGGCTTAAAACAAGCACATCAGCAGTGGTATAATAAAGTTGAATCCTTCATGACTGAGCACAAGTTTATGAAGATTGAAGTCGACCACTATGTATTTGTAAAAAAGGTGTGAGGCGGGGATTTTCTGATTATGGGGTAAAACAAGATAAGGATAGTCTCCCTGAAGAAGGCGTTAAGCTCGTCATTCGCGATGAAGGACCTCTTCCCTGCAAAACTGATACTCAAAATCAAGATTATCTAAGACCGACCTAAAAGGTTATTATGGTTGAGTCAAGAAAAATACATTGAGAAGATTCTGAAGAGATTTAGCATGGACAAAGCCAAAATAGTAAGCACCCCCTTAGCCGGACACATCAAATTGAGTCAGAAGCAGTGTCCAAGATCCGATGAAGAAAGTGATAAGATGCTAAAGATTCTGTACCAATCCGCCGTCGGAAGTTTGATGTATGCAATGGTATGTACGAGACCAGACCTAGCATATGTTGTTGGAATGGTAAGCCAGTATCTATCGAACCCCGGCAAAGAGCACTAGAAAATCGTTAAGTGGATTTTCAAGTACCTCAGAAGAACAACAAAATTATGCCTCCACTTCGGAGAAGGTAAGGCTGAGTTACAAGGCTTTACGAATATTGATTTAGGGGGAGATGCCGACTCGAGGAAGTCGACGACGAGATATTTGATGACATTTGCAGGAGGAGCTATCTCCTGACAATCTAAATTGCAGAAATATATGGCACTTTGGACGACCGAGGCCGAATACATAGCCACGACTGAGGCAAGCAAAGAAATGATGTGAATGAAGAAGTTTTTCTCTAAACTCGGTCATGATCAAAACAAGTACGAGTTGAAGTGTGATAATCAAAATGTTATTCATCTTACGAAGAATTCAACCTATCACTCCCGCACTAAACATATTGATGTGAGGTGTCACTAGATCCGGGATGTGGTGGAGGATAAACAGCTCGAACTCGTCAAAGTGCACATCGACCTCAATTGGTTCAACATGATGACCAAGCCGGTACCAACCAAAAAATTTGAAGACTGCTGTGAAGGTGCTGGGTTGCTACTGACGAAGCCGACACATTGAAGTCGGAACGAGGAGATTTGTTGGGCTTTTCCTCCTTAATGTTGCACAAGGCCCAATGTTTTTTTTTTTTTGTGAGGCTCAAGAAACTTGGGGTTCAAGAAATCCTAATCCTCACTTTCATATTCTATAATCTTATTTCCTCTCCAATATAAGCTTTTGTTATATGAAAGGTTAAGGTTAGACAATTTTAAGAGCATCTCTAGGGAGAAGTTTCAGTGTTAGACCTCCTTAAGGAAGTTTGAGATAATATCACCATATGTGAGGTTTGAGTTTACCACCGTTATTGGTGAAGTTTGTAACAACCTCTAATTATCCCAATATAGAGAATATCACATTGTTTGTAACCAATATATTTAATAATAATAATGAATAAATAAAAATATTAAGAAAATAAATCTAGAAAGATTAACTGGAACTACTAACATCCTTCATTAATTATACATGGATGTAAGTTAGTACAAATATCTTACATTCTAAATATTTTACATCGGTTCCACACATATATTACATTCCTAACTACATCAGGTTACAATGTTTATTCATTACATACTTCTCATTCTAGTCTGGCCTATAGGTGTAGGACTTCACACTGCCTGCATGGAATATGGTTGTTGCTCCTTAGTTTCCAACTATTATGTAAAATTTCCAATGATCGTCATAAATAA